GTCATCGTCGGGCGCGTTCTCGTTGGTCGTTTAACCACGGCAGGGGCCGCAGCCAGGACAGCAGCAGCAACAACGACAGCAGTCACCAGTTTCCTTGAGTTGTCGAAATACAATTTTTTTTAAAGATTTTTCATAATTTTTCCTAACCTAACCTATTTTGATTTTGGTTTTTATGTTTTATTATATTCATATAATATATTATATATATTTAAAAAAAAAAATACATTTTTAGCAATATTAAATTACAATAACAACAGATGGCAAAAAATAATACAAATTAATTTTGTTGATACAACTAATAAAATCATATAATTTTATTTAATTATTAAAAATATATTTTATCTTATTTTACCATAATTAAGCTTTTTGATAATAATGGATCAACAAGCTGAAATTCTGTGTTGGATTGATGACTTATGCCTAACGGAGATTTTAGATCCTTCATTAGGTTTCAATACGCATAGAACCAGGTTAATTTTTGTTAAAGGACATTTTGTCCGTTTAATTTATAATAAAGCTAAGGACTTACAATATATTTTATGGTTTTATGTTATTAGGTGTTGAAGAAATTGAAATAAAAAATCAAAGGGATAAACAAACATTAAAAAAACAAAGAGCTGCTTATGCAAAATCTCTTGAGAAAACTTCTAGAATCAAGTATATTCTGTATTAATTAATATTAATAGTTAACTTAGTTTAATTTTTCGATAAGACCGATTTATTAATAGTTATTTCAGTTCGAACTTAACATAACCTAAGTATATATTTACGAACCGATCGCTATCCAAGAGATTTTGGTGTTGGTGTTAAAATCGTGGCTAAAAAGCGCATTTATATGGACACAAGAATCGACGAATTATATGGATAAATGGCAAAAGTTACAGACGACTTTTTTTCTAATGGTATTCGTGACTATTCGGTCATGGTAACAGAAGATACTAATGAAACTAAGTTATGGTTGGGACCAGCAGCCTTTGTAAACCGTGATTGTGAAGCTAACGCATCAATATATTCTGTAGGCGGAGCAGCTAATGTGAAGGGTAACAAGATTTTCTTATGTTTCCCATATCACAGTAATATCGACGGCTAACAGGCAAACGGCCGCATCCACCACTTTAGACGTGTCCGCCATAGCAATATATCAATAAGGAGCCAGTGCTCGACTATGGGGTGGACGCAGGGGAACGGAGTACAAAATTTTAGAGTAAAAAATTTTAGCGTTTAATTGGAATTTTATGTAATGGGATTTGACTTGGTCGTTGAGTGTTAGTATATTCAGGTCTTTGTGGAGGTTTTTGTTTGTTACATAATAAGGTTCTAGTGTTTAATAGTTTTACTGGCTCTCATAGTTGGATGCCGTAAAGCAATGCTGGACGAATTATCGATTTTTTTTTTTTTTTTTTATTGGTCTAAAAGTTAACATCGACGACAAAGGCCATTAGTCATAAACAAGGTTTTTATACAATAATACAAGTAACAATAATGATTAATAATTTTTTTAAACAAGACCGAAAAGTTTTGTTTGTTTCAGAAATTTGATTATATCCAGGTTGTTTTCTTGGTTGGGTCCGAGTGCAGAATCGAGGTTGTGAGATATGTTGTTCGCGGCCCGTTCTTGGTTGAACTTTAGACAGTCGGCAATTAGGTGTTTGACTGTTAACAAGGTTCCGCAGGTTTGACAGTAGGGGGGTTCCTCTTTAGCCATCAGAAAGCCGTGAGTAATTCTGGTGTGACCCGTTCGGAGTCTATTGAGTACCGTATCTTCTTTACGGTTGAGGTTAGGATTAGACCAACGGTATATGTCTCTTTTTATTTCATTTAATTTTGTGTTTTGTATGTTCCAGATTTTTTGCCATTTATATTTTGTACGTTCATTTATGAGTTTTTACGCGTCGTCGTATGACATTTTATTAATTAAGACGGTTTCTTTGTTGTTGATGGCGATTGAGGCGTGTTCATCGGCTATTTCATTGCCTATTATGCCCGAGTGTCCAGATATCGGATTTATATATCATAAGTTTGTTGGCTACAGCAAGTTCAGATTTTAAAAGAGGTCTCAGAAGATGCAGTTTAGAGTTCACTTGTTTTAGATTCGAGCTCCAGTTAAGGTGGCTGCATAGATAATATAAAAATGGATAATATTTTTTTTTCTGATAATTGATATTGTTTTTCTTAACGTGCGTTCTGTTGTTTATAAATTGTTCAAATTACGATCGTTCTTTTGATGAATAAAGGCAATTTGGCATGTGTGATGCAATGATCGTTCAAAGAGTGTAAATATAATATTTGGATAGTGTCAAACATAAAGCGGTCTTTTAAAATAGTATTACGTAGTGACCTAGACATACATTTTTTGTTTAAAAATATTATATCATCATTACAAAATGCTGTCTGTATTAATATTCAAATTATATTACATTCATTGGCGTATGTAGGAGAGACGAGCAGCTATGCTATGTATTGCAGATGATCTATACCTGGTAGCAATTATTTTCTTTACCGCATTCGTATAATATGATTTACCGCGTTTATCTTATTTTTGATAATGTGATTTGTGAGTCGCTTCAATATTCTGATACTATCTGTTGCCATTAATGTGTTATGATTATTATTTTCGTTATTCTATCAATTGTTTAGTATATTATTGTAGACTTGTTGAGTGCTCATTATTTTATTAAACTTGAAAGAGGTGAAAATGGCTGCTACTGAATCCGAGTGGCCACGTAAATCAGTGAGTATGTGCATTTATTAACAAACAATCATCGGTATTGTCAGTCTTGTAAAAGATACATTTAAAAAGTATTCAAGTACAAATACAAATACTTTTTTGGTCTTTAGTATATGTCCATCAAATACTATAATACTTTGACAAGTTGACAACAATGTAATGTATTATAAATATAGTGTATTACTCATTAGTAATTTGTATGCAAATAACTGTATACATTCAATTAAATGGATACACATTACCTAGTATAGGCCACTAAAAATATTATAATATACCTACCAAAACTCACCATAAACGATCTATAACTAAAATTCTTGTACAATTTCAAATTTTTATTATTTTATTTAAATTTGGCAATTAAGTAAGACGAAAAAAGTATTTGAATACTTTTACTCAAGTATTTTACAAGACTGTGTATTATAAGATTATGTTAAATGTTTTATTTTGGGGACGACGACGCTTGTCATTGCAATCACGATTTAAGATATATTTTTTTTGGGTTCTATAATTATTATTGTCGGTTATATGATCGTAGAGCTGCTGCGCTATGTGTGGCTGATGACATTTGTCTCACATCAATATTAAATGTACATCTTGGCTTCAAAATGCACCGAAACCACACACCTCATTTCAAACTAATTAAACCATCTGAAAAGGCAATTTACT